TTATTGCTTTCCCCAATGAGATCACTTAACAACTGTCACCAGAAATGAGGCTGAATCTCTAGTTTTATGGTCCTAAAATCCCAACTTCTCCATGATGAACAAGACCTACTTAATATATAGCCAGTGCACAATAAATAGTAGAAATGGATAGCCTAATTCTCTGTTTTTGGTAGCTTTATTGTGAGGTTGGAGGTGTTGTCTCACAGTAATTGTATATATGGAAATACTTTAGTTTCTTTCATGTGTGTCACCATGCTCAAGGCATGCTTCAAAGTCACCATTAGCATTTGGAAATAGAGGGCAAGCAATCCTGCACTCTTTATTTCCTTCTGCAGCACTCAGTCTCCTGGCTGCAGTAGGAAGAAATACCTATAGTATAAACACCAGTGTAAGAATTTTCATAGGAAATACACACATACACGCACACACACAGTCTATAGTTTATTGTAAATACTTTTTCTTAACAGTTGAAGAACCAATGAAGTGTTCCCTTCTTCTGACAAGAAGATGAGCTTCTTGATGAGTGACACATTCGAGATTGTGTGAGGGTGGTGTTACTTTTCTTTTCCCCCCAGCATTATTATAACAGCTTTCCATAATGTGGTTTATCTAATTTTCACAAGAACCCATTTGTGCGCACTCAGTGGTGGAGGAAATCAAGGTTCAAAAAAAAATCAAGATTGTATAATTTTCTTGGACTTCTCACTGAATATATTGGAGTGGTGAATTGAGATCTCTTTGTACTTTTCATATTCCTCATAGTGAATATAGATAGCAAAGAAAGAATGAGAGAGAGGGAGGGAGGGAGGAAGGGAGGAGAGAGAGAGAGAGAGAGAGAGAGAGAGAGAGAGCTTGGCAGAGGCAAAAGAGAGAAGGAAACTAGGACAAAGTAAAAATGGCACTTGATAGCTAGCTAGACAAAACTACAATTCAGAGCAAAGCAATCCCATCAGGTTTTCTGTTCCTCATGATTTAATCTGTTGTAGAATCTTGTGGAAAATGTCCGTGGCTGACCCAGGGTGGTTTCCAAAAAAACCCATACATTTTTGAAAATCTGGTGAAACACTCCTGTTGCCTGGTCTTTGGATGAGAGCTGGGCAAAGTTCAAAGAGAGACAAGACATTCACAAAAATACTTCCTTAACTGCTTGCAGCAGAAACCTTTCACAACTGAAAATTGCAAACTGTTACTGCCAACACCAGATCGTTACCTCCTTAATCATAGCTTTCAGGTTCCTTTCCATAAATAGCAAGCTGTTGACATACAAAATACCTTCTGTTTTTCATAGAAAAGCAAGAAAGAAAGGTATTGGTAAAATATGCAAGCCACCAAAGTAAATGCTAACTAGAGTCAAAATGGCTTGTTCTCCATCTATACTTAATCCAAGAGAATGAAAAAACTAAAGTAGCCAAGACCTCTTATGCTTTTAATTGTTTTTGTTTTTATGTTAAAACACTTGCAACACACAATTAGCATTTCTATTTACTACCCAAGTAATATTCTATATAAAGAAGATTTTGATAATAAGCCTTTGAAAAATATCTCAATGAAATTTGATCACATTGTCCTTTAGGATAATTCTATTTCAAGGATATATTTATAACTTATTAAAATTGTTCATAATCTATAAGTTTCACATTTTCTGTTACATGTTATGAGCTTGTTTCTTTACCAGGGTTGAAAACAAAAGTTTACAATGCAATGCCAAGTGTGAGAACTGTTGGACAGCCTCTTGGTGCTGCCATGCATAATGTACCTGCTAGCTTCTGATGGCTTCTGACAGTTTCTGTGGGCCTGGTTTGAACATAGCCTGATATCTTTCTTCAAAAGACCACAGATATAAAGATACCTATGATCCTACAAAATTGTTATCTGATACTATGCACATGGTCAACCGTGATGAGAATTTGCAGTATTGAGCAATGTATCCCACAAAACGTGGCATTACATAATTATATAGAAGAGTTAACCATCTCTGATTGTCAGATAATAATAGGTATCTGAACTGTAAATCTAGAGTAATGTGTGGAGGTATAGGACAGTTCCCTCCTCTCTCCCTCTTTCTACCTGGAAATTCCCACTTACCATCTTGGGTTATTTCCATGAGAATCTGTGACATCACTGGCTGTGCATTTAGCCTTGAGTGGAATGCCAGGTATACGAATCATACTAGAGGCTTCAGTGAAACGTTCACAGTCCTCATTTATTAAGCATGTATTTCTCTAGATAATGGTGAATGAAAAGTGAACCGTATAAATGATCACATGGCTTTATTCTTGGGAAATGTACCTAGGATTTCTGTCCCTCCTTTATATAAACAATTAGATCAGTAATAATAACAATGAACATAGTAGTTTGTCTCAAATATGATTCTAATCAAGGTGAATGTATTATTCTTTTCATATAATATATTACTTCCTGCTATGGTTTGGATATCAAATGCCTTTTTAAGACTCATGTTAAAGGCTTGGTCCCTAAGGAATATTCAACAGTGGCATTTGGGAAGCAACTGGGCTCTGACTTCATAAATGAATTAATCTCTATCATTTCGCTCCCAATTCGATGAGCTATCCGTTGGTGATGAAAATTTAGGACATGGAATCCTGCCCTTGGGGAATATACCTTCTTCTTGTCTGTGTGTCTGTCTGTCTGTCTGTCTATTGCCATCCCCAACCCCCCCCCACTCCTCTGTGGTCATGAAGTGAGGTGTTCTGCTCCACCATACCCAGTTCACCATGATGTTCTTGGCCCATAAGCGATGCAACCAGAGGAGCACACACTGAAATCTGTAGAACTGTAACAAAGCAAATAGCTCTTGAAGGAAACATAATTTCATTAATATTCTACTTTTTAGCAATAGTAATTCAATTCTTAGCATTTGGCTTACTTAATAATGTTAACTTCTCCAAAAAATTAACTGCTTTGTTGTTGTTTCCATAAAATAATAACAACAATGACAATTGCTTTTGACTTCAAATAAAACTCAAAAAACCTTTTTAAAACTTCTGGTCTATTTGGGAAAAAACAAGGGAGGGGGTAACAATGTTCAACAAGAAATGTACTCATTAATTTATGTATGTAACCCCTCTGTATATCACCTTGACAATAAAATTATATAATTAAAAAAAACTTCTGGTCTGTAGATTAAATTCCAAGGCTTTGTAATGTCACATATTTACCACAGTGCTTGGTACAGTTTATATGAACAACCCCAATTATAATAAAGTTATGAAATTATATGGATATATTTATAAGTATACTTCTCAGGGAGGATAGTATGTGGTTTTCTCCAGATACTTAAAATATTTCATTGTCTGAGAAAGAAGAATTTTTTTGAAAAATTTTAATTTAAAGAAGAATTTTTGTCTGTGTTAGTAGCAAAATCTAGTGGAATAATTGTGGGAATGAGAAGGAAGGTCTGGGTTGATCGGGCCCTTTACCTCGAGAAGGTTAGAAAGTCCTTTGATGCCAGTTTCTGGGATGGTGGGCCAGCAGAGTTCCTTGTCCCTATCCCAATCCAGGATTTCCCACTTGCTATTTTAGGTCATTTCCATGAGCATCTATGGGATCACTGTCTGTACCTTCCCCCTTGGATGAAGTAATTCAAAGTCAGATAATTTTGTTCTGGTTGTGGGAATCATAGAATGTTAACTCTGGAAAGAACCTCATACAGAATCTATTTCAGGGTTTTCAAATTTATAGCAGATGTATCTCCACTCCCTTTCCAGCTCATGGAGAGTTTTCTAATTGGGGACAGCACTCTTTATTTCTGGGCCTTCTGAGTTCTTCTTAACATAATACTCTAAGCAATCATCACCAGCAGACTGAAATTAACATGCATGAAGATATTAGTTCTTCAGTCATATCACATGTCCAATAATAACGTATTACCACTGGCAAAATTCAAGCAGCTGGCATTTGATATGTCTATGGATTATGTTTGAGTGCTTTACACTGAATACTATAGAATTTTTGAGATAAGAGGACTTGCTTTTTCCAAACTACAACTATTTGAGTATAAAATATTCCTTTTTTTTGCCTCTGCTCTTATTACCTCCTCATTTTTTTTAGAATAAAGAATGAAAACTGCATAGTCTTCAAATCTTTCTTCTACAAAAATCTATAAGGCAGCTAATCTGGGTCCTGAGTAATAAAAAATAAATGTTGATTTTAATTATTGTTCTATAGGTTACTTTGGGGGAAGGTCATAAGCAATAAAATAGTTATGGACAGGTTCAGGCCTCTTGCTACACGTATCTCTGTATCCTTGAAAAGAGTTAGTGTGGTTAAGTCCTCTAGTTAAAGCTAAAAGATCTAGGGTTGAGGATGAGCTTGGCCTTTCTGGACCTCAGTTTCCCCTATTGTATTTGACACTTTGTAGAAATAGAAAACTGATTTCCTCACATATAGGCAAGAAAACCTGCTCTTCATTGAACAGAGGATTATGAACATGTATTTTCCAGTGTGTATATGTGTGTATGTGTGTGTGTGTGTGGTGTAGTATGTGTGTGTGTGTGTGTGTGTGTATGTGTGTATGCATGTAAGCCTGTTTGTGTGAGTGTGACTGTGTGAAAGGAAAGCTTCTTTTAGGTGACAATGAGGACAGGCCAGGGTAAGACATGAAAGAAAGTGCATTTCTACCCTTGATGCCATTAATTAAAGAACATGGATGTGTCTTTGAGGTTATACAAGGTATAAACTTTGTCATCTATTTTCCAGTTGAGTCTTTGGAAAAAAACTGGAGAAATATAGAGTATTAAAGAGACCAAGTAGAGATCACACTTAAAATTTTGACACAGCATATCTTTTTTTTTGTATTTTTTTTCTTGTGAAAAGGTGAGTGCAAGGAAGGCAAACCACATAGCTCTCGTCCTGCCTTCTTTAGCATACTCTGTAGATAAACTGGCTGAAACCCCATCCTCCTCTCTCATTACATTGGCCCCATTTGGAAATATGAAAGTTAAAGACATAAATTAGGAAATAAACCAGTATTACATGGAAACATATTTATTGGCTGAATAATAAAGCTTAGTTAAGGAGTTATTAAAATAAGAATTACCTCTTTGAAGTACACATTTTTAATAAGCAATAAAGAAGCAACCCCCCCATGAGCAATAATACTATGAAACCTAAATCATAGGCATTTGGGGGGTGTTTTCAAAAATCTATTCCCTTGTAACTGACAGATGACAAGGCACTAGACATGCAACATGAGACATGAGACATAACAAATGAACATATCCACAAGAGTTGGTAGCCACCACAAGAGCTTAGATTTCATATATGCAGCCACTATAACTAAGACAAACCCCGGAGAACCTATTCTGCAAACTTCCCTGCAATGAATGATTTGAAAATACTTTGTACAAAAAGCAAAAGCAACTCACCGATCATGGTTAATAAATAAGAAAGAAAATGAGAAAACAAGCAACTTGCAATGGGCTGTCACGCAAGCAGAACAAGACCTGGGACCTCAGCTGAAAATCAGACACTTGAGCTTTTATAACCCAAGAGAGAAGACTTCTTAAGAGTGGAATGGAGTTGTACATCATGCTCTAAGGGTATTTCCACATAATCTGCAGGAGGAGAAACTTGAATCAGTGTCTACCTAAAAAATGCATCCTGTGAGACGTGACTGAAACAAGTTACCTCTGCAGACCATCAAACCTCCCAGGAAAGACAGGAGGCGTGCCTTGAGAACTACTCTTTCCGAGTGCTCAAATCATAACAACCTCGTACATATTGTACAAAACGAAAACACAAATCAGTACCACTCAGACCCTCAACTTTTTCTTTTCTTTCCTTTTTTCCCAAGATAACCTCAGATTTCATTCTCAAAGTGCAAATCTGGACATTAAAAAAAGGGGGTGGAGGTTTGGTCGAAGGGAAAACTTAGCCCCGTTCTCTGTCCTTTACTTTTTACAACAGGAGACTGATTTGGTTCCTTCTGCCTCCCATCGGTGCCTTGGGAATTATACTTTCAGATAGTCGTTCTTCAGCCGACCTAGCCTGGTCCCATGGCTCCTGATGGTAAGGGCCAGCAGCTCGTATTTGTCTCTGAGCCCGGTAGAGATGTCTAGTGTTTCCTTCAGCAGGGATCTGGTGTGGACCAGCATCCCCAAGAAATCCTCATTGAGCCTGTTCTCCTGCCGGCTGTCCTGCTCCTGGCCCTGCTTGAACTTGCTTTCCAGCTCAGTGAGGGACTTGTCAGAGTTGGAGTAGGCATCTCCAATCTGGTGGGACTCCCGCCGCAGGTACTTGCCATAGCTCTCTTCCCCATCCAGGTCGTAGGAGATGCTCTTGCTGATGCCCTCCAGGACCCGCCCAGCATCCTCCACCTGGCGACCCAGCACGGTGAACTCCTCTCGGAGGGTAAGACTCAGCAAGCTGCTGTCCTGGCCTCCTTCCCCCTGCGAGCAGCGCCGGCGGTCACTCACCCTGAAGAGCAGCTGGCACTTCTCCGGGTCGTCATTCTCCTCGTAGTCCCCATCTGGAACGAAGTAATGGTGTAGCGTCCCATTGGACATTTCTGGGTAGAGAGGGCCATCAAAATAACCCTGACACAGGTAGCAGAAGAAAGCTATCCAGAGCAACTTTAGACACATCATTCTGGAAATTCAGGATGACCAGAGAGCCTCTCCCTCTCCAGAAGACTTTTTTTTCTTCGGCCAGGAACAAGCAAAACAAGTCCCTTGAGGCTTCAATACCTCCTTCCCCAAACAGAGTCCTCCTCAATCCCAAGTGGCTGGTTGCACCCGGGTCCCTGCTCCCCAGCAGACTTCATGGGGCTCTGTGCAACAGAGCCTGGGTAGCACAGCCCCGCAGCAAAGCAGGAGGATGCACCTCGCAGCTGTCTCTGCCTTTGGCCCTTTGCTCTGGGGCTGGAACTGCCTGGCTCTCTCTCAGTCGGTCTCAGCTCGGAGGGGCCGGGAGGGGGGGCTCACTCATCCAGGAATCTGGCAGATGGTTGTCTCTCTGATACACTTTTGGGAGTTCCCTCTTGCTCCTGGGAGATGGAGCTTGTGGCAAAAAGAGCAAGGCGCTTTTGCTTGCTTTCTGATACGGTTTCAACCCCTGGACTGGGAGGGAGGGAATATGGAGCTTTTGCTTTGGCTAAAGATATCCTGAGGATCTCTGGGCTCTCAAGTTACAGCTGTTTTCCTCTCTTGGAAGTCTGGGAACAACTTTGGAAAGAAACCTCTCACCAGGTCTCTGTTATTAAAGGCACAGGGTTTCTTTTTAAAGATTGGAAGTGGGAGAAGCTGCAAAATAGAATTTAGCGTGAAGGGGAAATTTCCACACACAAAAAGGCTGATCTACTGTTAAGGTATTAAGGGAGAGGGAAAGGTTGTTTTACCGGCTTAAGTAAATAGCAGTTAGTTTGGATTTGCGGAGTGTGCCTATTTTTATTTTTAAAAAGTTTCCCTTTAGAGGCAAATTTAACATGTCAAAAAGGGTACTTTTGTTTGGAAATGATTGGTTAATAAATATATGAAATTTTATGGAAACAATAGAAATATGGGGAGTGGATTAATGCATAGTTGTAATAGGCTCAAGATTAAAAATTAAAAAGCATTAGTTTGGTTGCTTAATTTAAAAAAAAGGACAATTGACACTACTGCCTAATTTTATGAAAAAACATCCATACTGAGCTCCTGTATTGAGTCTTTAGCCTTATATTTTACAGCTGTTGCTTTTTCTGAGCTACTTACAAGCGTTTGACATGTTCAGTGTTTCAGAGTTACCTAAATTTTCCAGAAAGAAAGGGCAGAATGTAAAGCGAGTTGTTAGTCATGGGCATTGTAGGAAGGCTATTAAAACACAGCACAAGATCTTTTCTTTAATTTGATTTAGAAAAGAACCTATTTTTCTGCCAGCCAGTTTTAAATTCTGATTTCTGAACTTATTGACACATGAGGCAAGCCTATAAGCCATTTGTTCAAGTTTTTGTTGAATATTTGTTGTGATCAAGCTCTGTTTTAGGTATAAACAGCAGTGAGCAGCAATGGAGAAAAATCTATGTCCTCCCAGAGTTTTCATTCTAGGAAATGAAAAGGAAATTAATAGCATAAAAATAAAACAAACAAACAAGCAGAATAGATTGCATAATGCACAGTGATGTGAAGAAAAGAAATTAGGGAATAGATAAGAAAGCCAGCCCATGCCATAATTACAGTTCCATGGGTAATTTCTGTTTTTCTTTGATGGGATTGCTCATGTAGACTTGTCAGCTTCCAAAGCTGTCTCCCTCTAAGTCACAAAAGGGATTAAGTCATTCAGTGACAGTGTGGCAGGACACTGTACGGTATCACATGCATAGATCTTTTGAGGCATGTTGGCTGCACATTTTAAGCAGGATATTTGATATCCTGAAAACACAGAGCATACTTTTTACTTATGGAGGAAACCTCACAGGAATTTTCTTAGTGTTTGTTCATGCTAGAAGACCAAGGCTAAGTTTTACTCTATTTCAGAGGAAGACTAGAACCTGCTCTAGATGAGAGGCTGGACTGTTGGACTCACAAGTCACATTGGCTCATTTCTAGTCCCCTTAGACATTAACAACAGATGAATTCAAGCTGTTTTCTTGGACAAAGAAAAGAAGAGGAATTTGTTCCACTACTTGAGTAATTCCTCCTTGACTTTCAAACAAAGTCAATTAAACAAATTTTGTATTAAGCACTTTTGCTTGCTCCTGTTTACTTACAGGGTGAGCTAGTTAGCTTATAGTTACAAAGGTGGGTAATAAAAAAACTTCAGAAGCTGCTTCTTGAGAGTTAGGCACACAGAAACACAAAGCCCTGAGAAAAGAAGTCAGGAGTATTTACTTTCTTCTTGCAATGATCTCATCTGAAGATAAAAATCTCACACCATATATAGCAAAGGAATTAGTTTGTACAAGTGGATCAGATTTAAGTCTGAGTGGAGGCAAAGGGAACTCACATAAAGTCTAGGATTAGAATTTTTTCCAGACAAGGCTTAGTCTAGAACCTAGTTTTGATTTCATCATTCTTGGTTCTATGCTCTTAGCTTATATTCATTCTTGGGCAGTTTCTTCCATTTGTGAGTCCAATGTTATTACAGTTCTTCTGGGGCTACATGATTCTTTGTTGATTATTATTCTTACAAGATTGCAGGTAAGATTTCCTGGTAACTCAGATGAAAGCCTCTTTAAATGAGCCTCAGTGCCCACATTAACTTACTCTAGATGGTATATCAGAAATTTTGGAATACACCATTTTGCTTAAGAAAACAAGAACCAATTTTGCAGCTATACATTCAGGATACATTTAGGGTCCTGGTTTAAAATAGTTGAGAATAGAGGATGTACTTATGAATATTCCTTCTGCCTCAAATACTTACCTGCCTTGACTACATGTAGAAAATACCGTGACCTTTTGCAGTTAGTGTCAGTGTTTAGCAGATAGCTTTATGATGGGGCTCTCATCTATAACATTTGCTGATCTTTTTAGTATAAGTATTCACCATGGCTGATAGAACTGAATAAAGAGTAGAGAAAAATCAGTAATGTAATGTATCATTATATAGGATTCCCATCATACAGATGACTAGATATAGATAAGCCTAAGAAAACAGCAACAAGTACAAGTCTAGTAATTAAGAATGATGACTTTTTTGTTCATATTTCCTTTATTTTAATATAGTTTATATAATTGTAAGTTTAGATAGCTTTATTTTTTATAATGGCGGTTTTTGCCAAATTGCACGATTTCTGCATTAAAAGTGAACCTAACAGCTGGGCGCCGGTGGCTCATGCCTATAATCCTAGCTACTCAGGAAGCTGAGATCTAAGGGTTGCTGTTCAAAGCCAGCCTGGGCAGGAAAGTTCATGAGATCCTATCTCCACCAGAAAACCGGAAGTGGCCCTGTGGCTCAAGTGGTAGAGCACTTCTGCAGAGCTGAGGGACAGTGCCCAGGCCCAGAGTTCACATCCCATGAATGAAAAAAAAAAATTGAACCTAACAACCAGCCCTTAAGAGTCAACACAAACCATCTTCAGTACAAAAAGTCCTTTTGATTCAATACTCCATTTTGTTCACTTTAAACGGTTTTTGTTGATAGATACTTCATATATGCCTAATTCCATCCTGGATTACTCTAAAAAGGGTTAGGGGTAAGATTGTTTTTAAGTATTGACCTAGAACAAGTGGAGCCTAAGTATATGTTCAAACAGAGATATTCCAGAAAGAAGGCTTTGAAGAGTAAAGATACTATTCTCTGATAGAAGTACCAGTTGAATCCAGGACTGAACATTAGGAAGTAAAAGAAAAAGAAAGGACTGAATATATCCAGGAGCAATGACTGGAGTCATAAGTGAATGAATATTTCTGCCCAATATAGCTCATTGTGTATATGTCATCCCTGACACAATGTGTCAACAAAGTAGGCTTACTTGTTTTTATTTCTTTTTATAATCTTGTATTTTTGAATGAATTCTAAGTTTAGAGAAGGAATGAGGAATTTGTATTGGTACCGTGGGTATGGTTTTATAACTTTTCTTTGTTAAAATGTCTGTGATCCTCTGATAATTCCTGATAATGGTAGCAGCAGAATTTTTATAGACATGGAGCTTATATGCACAAACTATAAGGATAATTTGAGGGAAAACTTGGTCCTCCTATGTAGCCTAGAACATCAAGTTTATTCCCAACATTTTCCAATCTGTCAGGACAACACTGAAGAAGATTTTAAAAGGTCATGGGATTTTAACATTGGAGAGACTAGAGATACTGTTGTGGAAAGAATAAGGGAATAAAGAAAATGGAGGAATACAAGGAATGATACAGTACTTAGCATTTTGGGAATTATTTCATTTCCAAGATTAGTACATTTATTGGGCATTTATAGAAGGTAAGAAGGACAGTGGAAGAGAAATACATGAGAAAGTAGAAAAAGAGGTACGAAGTGAAAACAAGTAGCCAGAAAGAGAGTAAGGAAAGAAATAACAGAGTGAAATAAATTTTATCCAGTCCATGTTATTTGTCTCATGAACTCAGTAGGTATTGTTATTTCCTACAAGATAGTTGGTTAGGGAAAGGGAAGAGACTAAATAGTAGGAATGTCCACAAATAAGCTTCTCATTAAATATAGGGAATAAAACATACCTACAAAAATAACAAAGACATTGACAAGGTTATAAGTATAATGTAGGGAGTATGATCGATTCTCATAATCTCACCATATTAGTCAGAATATTTTATGTTATGCTATAGTGACAAACATTACAAGTATGCTGTCACCAAACGACTTCACTGAAGGTCAAGTGAACTCAAAAACTTTCTTCTGTATGGTAACTCTACTACATCATCTCTAACATTCAACCTCTTTGGTTCATGTGGCAAAGGGAGAAGGAAGGCTCTTTTAAGTCTATGTTCAGATGTGTCAAATGTCATTCTCGTCTACAACCCATTGGTGGGTAACTTGGTCTGATCTTGGTGAAAAGAGGAGTCAGTATTTCAGGGAAGAAGAGAGGAAAATCAGATGTGGAGAATATTGTTCTCTATCATACTTTACAACAGATGAAGTGTATGTTAGAAAGGTACTAGAATTCCAATCAGGCAGAAAAAAAAGGCATGCATTCTTCCAAAATGAGCACATGCCATCTATTCAATCCAAATAGAAAGGAGAAGTAAGCTTAAAGGCACTTATTTCTTTGTTACTTCCAGATTCAACAAGTCTGATCTTTTCCACAATTTCACCCATGAATGTAGCACATGACACATCCTAGTGGAGAGGTGCTAGGAGACTCTGATAGTGAAAGTAAGAATAAAAGTCAGTTCCCTTAGGGTGGCAGCCCAACACAATCAACACCAAGAAATTTGTATGTCCAACGGGAGATGTGGGGTTGAGGCCAAGTGGGAAGGAATGGAGGAAAGAAGGGAGGAAAAGGGGAGGATGCAGTCACAAATTCATTGTATATACTACAAAACTAAGAAAACTAAGGGAAGGGGTGGGTCAAAGTGGGGGTGAGAATCTTGAAGGAGTTGACACTGATCAAGATGCATGGTATTCACAAACTGTCCTGTTAAATG